CTTCCCAGCAGCTTCTTTATCCGCTTTCCTCGATTAGCTGGCCCTCCACCTTCTTTTCCGCTTCCTGTTTGTTTTCCAAATACTATCACCCCTTTCTTTCTTCTTCGTGTACTCTTGCGTCCTTTCTTCTTCCGTTCACTGGCAGGCAGTCCATTGGCTGAGGCGGGAGTGCTTTTGGAGTTGGTGTTGGAGTTGGTGGTTCCAGTGCGTACAGTTGCCCTTTCAAAGCCCGAATTTAGAAGGGCTCTTGAATGTTGATTCTTCCTCTTCTTCTTGTTGCTGGTGGTTGCAGTGAAGGAGAGCTTCTTCTTTGAGGACGCCATTGAGAATGCGTCGTCAGCAGTGTTTTGTGAATGTTGCTCTAAAGTTCGAACAACTGTTTTGAGGCCGCGGCTGTGCCCTTTTATAAAACTCTCAAACGTTTTAGCAAAAAAAGGGTTTGAATAAAAGCGAATTGTAATTGTTGTGAAAAAGATAAGCTGTTGTTGAAGAAGTGTTAAGAACAAATTTTCCAAACAAAATCTTAAACTCCAGAAATGATGATCCATTGTAGCCACCAAATGAGAAAGCGCTGGCACCACTGGAAAAGGCCGTCATGCCCGGAAGAAGTGCTCTGAATTTTCAGTAAATAGAAGAATTATTCTAGAAAAATTAGCAAGTCAAGAATAAAAAAAGGCTGAAAAAAACTTTCTATTTATTATTACCGTATGAGGAGTGCCAATATCAACGAGAACCCAGGTGTACAGTCGGTGGAGGGTGACATTTAGCAGGCGGTACTCAATGCTGTTGAGGCCATTCGTGGCAAAGCTTTCCTGGTGGTTCAGTTTACCAATGTTTCTATTGGTGTTGGAGAAAGGATAAATGTAAAAGTAAAAGTAAAAGCCACCNCCTTTTTGTGGGGAAGCATTGTGTAGCGGGCAATGGTCGCACTGTACCGACTGACTAGATAGTTGTGGTATTTGACGCGGAAATATCTGCGTTGTTTGAGAAGAAGTGGTTTAGTGATGTTGGTTCAACTGATTTTACTCAGGAAAACGTCTTACAGATCATCATCTTCGCCGCCCCAACTCCAGAAGTTATTTGGAAAGCCGTTGACGGTTTCAAATTGCTCTCGTGTTAGGGCGCTGACGCCGCCAAAAATGTCATAGTAAGGTAGACTAAATAAGAAGAGAAGAGGAGTTTAGAAAAGGCTCAAAATATACTCTGAAACTTGTAGCAATTACATGTAATGAAA